GGGACAAGAAAATCTGAAACTAGAAATCTAATCTTTATATCTTTTGGTAAATTCAATGTATCAAAAAAGAAAGCAGCCTTGTGAAAGACTAAATTAGATAAAAGGGATAAAAATATAAGTTTATATTTACACACTATAAAATATACCATTTTAAAGGGGAAATAAGGTAGGACAAAGAAACATAATTTTACGGAAAATGAAACTTTTTGGAAAGAGGTATATCTTCTGTAGAAAAAAATTTTGATTTGTTTAAATTAAAGTTTCAAAATGTGTGAACATTAGGTTTTTTGTATTTTCATAAGTATGTATTGAAAATTACTTTGAAAATATGATCTACTTTTAAAATGTTGAAATGTATGTATTATGTGAGTTTAATGAACTTCTAATTTCTTGTTTTACAAAATTGTCTGCTTCCCATAAATGTAAATATACTCTCAAAAGATCATTTTAAAGGCTCCATACATCTTATAAACTACTGTTCAAATAGAAAAAAAGGTAGGGACTTATTTCTACATATTGTTGCATCACAGTGCATAATAATAACATTACTATTTTTGTATTCTACTCCAAATTTCTGGAAATTTGAAACAATTGATTATCTTTCTGTATGCATGTTTATTAGACAATATAGCCAGATTTTCCAATTTCTCTTAACTTATAATTCATTGAAGAACACTTTTCATTAATTTAAATGTTGATTTATTTTTTTTCACAGAAAGTAATGTATTTTCAACTAGGGACAAAAAGTATAAATGTAAGAATAAATTTTGCAAATACTTACTATAATCCTAAAATTGCTTTGTCCCTTCAAGATGTATACTAGTGGTTTTGAATACTGTAGTCAAAAATAATTTCCACTAAGATATTTTCACCAGAAAATTTATCATAAGTTTCTACAAAATCAATTATACATGAGATTTTTTTTTTTTTAGTTTGGCAATAAGAGAGAAAAAAAATGGCTGAGTGATTGTATTCATGGACATTACTCAATTCATTTCTTAAAGAATGTATCAATTCTAAGTGATAGCAACTGAGGTATTCAAATGTTGCTCTTTAAATTTTTTATGGCAATGAACTATTAATATCTCTTGTTCTTTCTCCTGACATTCTGCTTTGAAATTTGATTCTTTGGTCAATGTGAATATATATTTTCTTATATTTTTGGCTGCTTATATGCATGGTGGATAGACCTCTGTATATCTGTCTTCAACAAGTGATTTCTATGGCTTAATGTCTCATTACACAATATACAAGGATGATTTCATGTTTTCAAATATTTGGGGGTCTTATAAACTTCATTGAAAAACTTGCACTAGGGGAAACAATGTAAATAAAAGAAACTGCACATAACTTTCATTGTTTTTTTGTTTGTTTTTGTTTTTTTTCAAATCCAAGAATCTGGGAATGCAGAAATTTGTCTTCTCACAGGGGCTTGGAATGAACTGAGTCAAAGTGAGCTCATTTAATTGCAAACAACAACAAACTTGCTATTGAATACATATGGTTGAGTGCATACAAGTTGGTGACTTTCTGTATAACTGGAAGTTCTCAAACTCTATTTTATATGGAATAGAAGTGAAGATAAAAGTGCTGTATTTAAAGCTTACATTTGTATTATTAAATTTTAACAGTAAAATTGTGATAATGGATTAGAAAATAAACTGCAAAGACATCTTTGGAGAAGGAGAACTTTAGTCAATGAATTTTTGAAATTTGTAATAGGTAATAATAAAAGCATTGATTTTTAGTCAGGATTACTACCGATTTTAAATTCTCTACAGGAACTTTTCTCCTTCCTTATTTCCCACATGTGAAAATATCATCTTCAACAATCCAGTCCTTCATTCTTCACTGCACTCTACATTTGGCTATTATATACATGATCATAAAGCAGAGGTTTTAAATTTCAACATTACTGAGAGTAGGGCTAAATAATTCTTTGTGGAATCAATACTGAGTATGAAAACGTATAGTATGAGGCATCCCAGTGTAACCTTCTAGATTAGACAATGATATGCATGAACAGACAGATAAGAAGGGATTCACTGGCTTAGCTAACACTTTCATATTAATCAGTCTTGGCAAATGACTGGGATGATGATTTTGTACCTAGAACATCCTAAAAAACAGCTTAGTACCTACACAGTCACTGGTGAGCTTGATGAGTCAAGTTTCAGTAGAGTTTATGGGAAAGTTATCCCAACACAGGGCATTGATGAATAGCTGAAAAGTGACAAAGCAGATAGTGTTTGACTAGGAATTGGACAAAATAGCACAGATTCTTTCTCTAACTCTACCCCTTACCAGAGAAACAGTGTTGGATTCTCTCAAAGAGCAGCTCAGTGATCTGCTAACTTTAACTTCTTAGGCTATTCCCCCTAGCGCTCTCTCTCTCTCTCTCTCTCTCTCTCTCTCTCTCTCTCTCTCTTTGTTTAGTTATAGATGGACACAATGCCACTTATTTATTAATTTATATGTGGTACTGAGGATCGAACCCAGTGCCTCATGCGAGCCAGGCAAGCACTCTACCACTGAGCCACAACCCCAGCCCCTCTCTCTTGGTTTTGATGGACAAAGGGCCAAAACAGATTTGCTACAAAATCCTTACTCCTTGATAGTCAAATATAAATCAGAAATGTTTTCTATGAGCAGGTTTTTATGCCATTCACTATAGTCTCCTCCAAATTTCTATTTTAATGATTAAATACAATGCAGCAAATTTTCCATTAAAGATTACTCAACCATTTACAAATCCATCTATTCCCAGATATTTTTAACACATTTCTTAGCACTAAAATTTATAATTTTTTTTAGCCTCAAGACTTGCTTCACTTTTGAAAAAAAAAACTTAGAATTATTATTTTCAGTAGGAATGTGTGAGAGAAATATATTCAGGAGACTTTAAAAATTAATTTGTATGCCTCTGGTGCTTTGGGAGCATATAAAAAGTCTTTTAGAATCGTTATTCTGTTTATGACATAGAGTGTCTTTTACTACTTATTTTTATTTAATTAATTTCTTCTGCTGGTAATTTATCCTATTCTATCTTGTTATAGAAGTCCTAACCTTCCTTTAAAATGAACTCAAATCAAACCTCTCTAGGAAAGCTTCTAGTCCTCTCACTCCCCCACAATACTCCATTAATACTTCATGCTACTCCAGAATTCAGTCCAATTTGTCTTGGTATTAGAATTACTGAACTGCCCTTATCACTGTTGTATCTCCTACTGAAATTACACAATGTTTTACAAAATAGAGCTAAAATATATTTACTGAAATGAATCAAAGTTGATCACAATGCCAAAAATGGATCTGAATCACGTTTAAATATTTCCTGAACTTAGTTTCACATTATCATAGGCTTTATTGCAATAATTTTGAGCCCATTTTAGGCTAATTGACAAATAATTAAAAGAAATAAATCATATCTGAAGATAATTGTGGTTTATATGGCGAATTAGCTCATTAATTGCTGAACAATCAATAAATAATTTGTTGAATGGGAAATAATGGTGTGGTGTTCACAAATTATCAATGTGATTTGTATATTCATATCATAGAGCTGTTATAATACTGCCACCGATGATTTTAAGTCATGAGACCAGAGCTACCCTCATGTTCACTTTATGAACTTAGCCATATTTGTTATTCATAATACATAAATCCCTCCTGTGTACCATGCCTAACTCATAAGGTTACTATTAAGATTAAATACAATGAGAATAAAAATAGTTTAAAACTACTGAGAGATAAATTAATAAGTTGTGCTGTTTTCATTTAATCATCACAAAATGATGGATTAATATTCTGATCTTTATAAATAAAGAAATTTTGTCACAGGGAGTCTATGTAATTGTCTTAAGAGCAAAGAGCTATTAAAAGGTAGAAATGGGATTTGGTGTCAAATACTCTGAGCCAAAGTTCTTAGGCAAAATGCTAAATTGCTGAAGTGTTAACTCCCTCATTTTAAATTTTATAAAACTTGAATATTACATTATCTATTCTGAAATACTAAGATCTTGAATTCCTAGAGTAGAACTTAAGAGAATTTAAAAAAAATTCTTAGTGGTATTCAATAATAAATCTAATAAAACACTCCATAAAATTTCAAATAAAATTTAGGGAAAAAATGCTAAAGGATTAATGAAGAAGTAAAGTTATTGGATTAGTGACTTGCTAATTACCTCTCCCCTATACAGTAGCTAGTTGTATTCTCTAGTTTATTGCATGTATCAAAATAATGAATCTTAAATTAATCCAGTAGTGATTCACCTAGAGGCCTTATTATCATTCTGTAACTCATGTAAAGTCAAAACTTGAAAGTTTAAGCATTAAAGACTTGTAAGACCTGGAAGATCCATCTACTTGCCTTCTATTTAAGAAAGTGATATCACTCACATGCCATCATTTGGATTGCTTTCTTCAACTCTGCGATTTCTGTGGAAATGTGCAATTCAGAAAAGAACACTGCCACCCAGGGGATAGAGAATTGAAAGTGCACAGACAGAATGCCTGAAAAATTCACTGCATTTTAAAAATTTTAGTAGACAATTTTAACTCATTCTATCCAAAATATTATTTCAATGGGTGTCCAATATGAAAATTATCAAGAAATATGCCACATTCTGTTTTTTTCTTTAAAATCCAGTTCACATTTCACACTTACAGTACATCTCAATTCAGACTAGTCAGGTGCTGGATGACTTCATGGGATAGATCATGGCATGGCAGCATTGAAGTATAGAATTAGCAGGCAGCTGTGTTTTACTAGATCTGTTAATAGAAACAGCTAGCACATGCTGCATGTTTACACCATGATGCCAGGTACTATACTGATGATGTATGTCTCGTTTAATCTTTTATGACATCCCTCTTGGGTACGTACTTTTATAATTTCCATTTTACAGAGGGGAAAACTAAGGCTTAAAGAAAGAGCAACCAGTATGTAGCAGAGTTAGAATATAAACTTGGCTATGTCCTATTCTCAGAGCTTGTAGTCCCAAAACATAGAACACTTCATGAATTTGCATGTCATCTTTATGCAGGGGCTATGCTAATCTTCTCTGTATCGATCCAATTTTAGTATATGTGCTGGCAAGCCAGCACATCACTGCATTGGTTCTGGATTGTGAATGAAACACTCTGTTATGTTGCAGTGTTCTGTCGGTTGAATTAGTAGTAATTGTTCAATTACTAAACGTTCTAAAGAACATGCTTATGAGAAATGACAGGATTCTCAATAATAACTTCTCTTGTACTTAACTCATTTAAGTAAAAGAGAAAGTTGTGTAGGTACAACCTCCTACTTGGCAAAGTTCCATAACTTTTTAACAATTCTATTGGAATTAGAACATCTATGGGAAAATGATATGAGCTAGAGATACATGCTAACTCTGTTATTAGTTAAAGTTCTAGCAAAACTAGTACAATAAAATGAGATGTTTCAATCTGAAACATCAGTTTCAGAGGGGCAATTATCTTTCTTATACAACTTCTTTCTGCATAGTTAAAAAATTCCTTCCTCTCAAAGGAAAATACTTGAAAAAAGTAATGGATAACAAATGTTCCCCCAAATCATAGTTTTGTCTATACTGGCAATAAATAACTAAAATAGAACATATTCTATTCACAGTGGAAACAAACACCATGAGATTATGTTTTCAATTTTAATTTAAAAGTTAATATTAGCACATTAATCAAAACTCAAAAGTACACAAGAAAACAGTGAAGACATTACACATGTGCCTCAGCTGCTGATTTCTTCCTTAAAGAACAAAGATGCTACAAAGAATAGTAAATATGGTGTGTACACACATTCTTTCACCAAGCACACATCAATAATAGCATATTCTAGTATAGATCCATTTGATTTATTCATTATACAATATACCATCAAGATCCTCCATTCCAGTAAATACTGAATTGATTATTCTTCTATTAAGAAGATTAAGTTCTTAACTTAATCATTTATTAATGATGGGTAGATTCCATCTAAACTTTTATTAGTACATACAAGTAATAAATTTTATTATACATACATGCTTTGTACAGTATAACTGTAGTATTTTTCTAGAAATATAAATGCTAATTTAATAATAAGAATATTTATTTAACAGTTTTAGTGAGTGATAACTACATAAAACTGATGTTTTGACATATATATGCACTGGACCAAAAGAAAGAAAAAAATTAATCCTCCCCCCAAATATTCTCATGATACTTTGACATGTCACCTTGCATCCTTCTACCCTTTCACTACTAGTTTCTCAAGCAACCATTGATCTGTTTTTGCCACTATATATTGTTTACATTGCATTTCCTAGAGTTTTAGGTAAATGGAATTTTAAAATTATTATTTATTTACTCTAATTTTTTATACATAATGGCAGAATGCAATTCATTTCATATTACACACATAGAGCACAGTTTTTCAAGTCACTGTACACAAAGTATTTTCACACCATTCATGTCTTCATACATGTACTTAGGGTAATGATGCCCATCTCATTCCACCATCTTTCCTATCCCCTTGCCCCCTCCCTTCCCCTCCCTCCCCTTTGCCCTATCTAAAGTTCCTCCGTTTCTCCCATGCTCCCCCTCCATCGCCATTATGAGTCATCATCCTCATATCCAAGAAAACATTCAGCCTTTTTTGGGGGGAATTGACTTACTCCACTTAGCATTATATTCTCCAACTACATCCATTTACCTGCAAATGCCATGATTTTATTCTCTTTTAATGCTGAGTAATGTTCCATTGTGTATATATACCACAGTTTCTTTATCCATTCATCTACTGAAGGGCATCTGGGTTGGTTCCACAATTTAGCTATTGTGCTGCTATAAACATTGATGTGGCTGTGTTCCTGTAGTATGCTATTTTTAAGTCCTTTGGGTATAAGCCAAGGACTTGGATAGTTGGGTAAAATGGTGGTTCCATTCCCAGTTTTCCAAGGGAAAAAAAATCTCCATACTGCTTTCCATATTGGCTGCACCAATTTTCAGTCCCACCAGCAATGTATGAGTGTGCCTTTTACCCCACATCCTCGCCAACACTTACTGTTTTTTGTATTCTTTATTCTTAATAGCTGCCATTCTGACTGGAGTGAGATGAAATCTTAGATTAGTTTTGATTTTCATTTCTCTAATTGCAAGAGATGTTGAACAGTTTTTCATGTGTGTTGATTGATTGTATATCTTCTTCTGAGAAGTGTTTGTTTAGTTCCTTGCCCATTTATTTATTGTTTGTTTGTTTTTGTTTTTGTTTTGTTTGTTTGTTTTTTGGTGTTAAGATTTTTGAGTGCTTTATATATCCTAGAGATTAGTGCTCTATCTGATGTGCTTGTAGTAAACATTTTTCCCATTTTGTAGGCTCTCTATTTACGTCATTGATTGTTTCTCTTGCTAAGAAGAAGCTTTTTAATTTGAATCCATCCCATTTATTTATCTTGGTTTTAATTCTTGAGCTATAAGAGTTTTATTAAGGAAGTTGGGTCCTAATTCAGAATAATGGAGATTTGGAACTACTTTTTCTTCCATTAGGCACAAGGTCTCTGGTTTATTTCCTAGGTCCTTGATCCACTGTGAGTTGAGTTTTATGCATTGTAAGAGATAGAGGTTTAATTTCACTTTGTTACATATGTATTTCCAGTTTTCCCAGCACCATTTGTTGAAGAGGCTATTTTATCTTCAATGTACATTTTTGGTGCCTTGTCTAACATAAGATAACTGTAGTTATGTGGGTTAGTCTCTGTGTCCTCTATATTCTGTACCATTTGTCTATAGGTCTATTTTGGTGCCAATACCATGCTGTTTTTCTTACTATTACTCAGTAGTATAAGGTCTAGAATAGTAATGCCACCAGCTTCACTCTTTTTGCTAAGGATTGCTTTGGCTATTCTGGGTCTCTTATCTTTCCAGATGAATTTCATAATTGCTTCTTCTATTTCTATGAGGAATGTAATTGGGATTTTGATTGGGATTGCACTGAATCTGTATAGTGCTTTTGGTAGTATGGTCATTTTGACAATATTAATTCTGCCTATCCAAGAGCAAGGTAGATCTTTCCATCTTCTAAGGTCTTTTTTCATTTCTTTTTGTAGTGTGATGTATTTTTTATTGTAAAGGTCTTTTACCTGTTTCGTTAAGTTTATTCCCGTGTGTGTGTGTGTGTGTGTGTGTGTGTGTGTGTTTTGAGGCTATTGTAAATAGGGTCGTTTTCCTAGTTTGTTTTTCTGAGGATTTGTCACTGATGTACAGAAATGCCTTTGATTTATACGTGTTGATTTTATATCCTGCTACTTTGCTGAATTTATTTATTCATTCTAGGAGATTTCTGGTGAAATATTTTTGGGTCTTCTAGGTATAGAACCATATTGTCTGCAAATAGTGATAATTTGAGTTCTTTACCTATCCATATCCCTTTAATTTCTTTTGTCCGTCTGGTTGCTCTGGCTAGAATTTCAAAAACTATGTTAAATAGAAGTGGTGAAAGAGGGAATTTCTGTCTTGTTCCAATTTTTAGAGGGAATGCTTTCAATTTTTCTCCATGTAGAATGATGTCGGCCTCGGGCTTAGCATAGATAGCCTTTACAATGTTGAGGTATTTTCCTGATATCCCTATGTTTTCTAGGGTTTTGAACATGAAGGAATGCTATATTTTATCAAATGCTATCTCTGCATCTATTGAGATGATCATATGATTTTTTATCTTTGAGTCTATTGATGTGATGAATTACATTTATTGATTTCTGTATGTTGAACCAACCTTGCATCCTGGAATGAATCCTACTTGATCATGGTGCACTATATTTTTTATATGTTTTTGTATTTGATTTACCAGAATTTTATTGAGAATTTTTGCATCTATAATGTCATTAGAGAAATTGGTCTGAAGTTTTCTTTTTTTGATGTGTCTTTGTCTAGTTTTGGAATCAGGGTGATACCAGCCTTATAGAATGTGTTTGGAACTGTTTCCTCTTTCTCTATTTCATAAAGTAGTTTGAGAAGTATTAGTGTTAGTTCTTCTTTAAAGGTCTTGTAGAACTCAGTTGCCTATCCATCTGGTCCTGGACTTTTCTTGACTGGTAGCTTCCTATGGCATCCTCTATTTCCTTGCTTGAAATTGATGTGTTTAAATCATGTATAACATCCTGATTTAATTTGGGCATATCATATGCCTCTAGAAATTTGTCAATGACTTTGGTATTTTTTATTTTATTGGTGCACAAGTTTTCAAAATATTTCTAACTATCTTCTGTGTTTCTGTAGTGTCTGTTGTGATATATCCTTTTCATCACAGATGTTAGTAATTCGAGTTTTCTATATCTTTTTCTTTGTTTGCATGGCTAATGGTTATTAATTTCATTTATTTTTTTCAAAGAATCAACTTTTTGTCAGTGTTCTCAATTGTTTCTCTTGTTTTAACTTCATTGATTTCAGCTCTGATTTTAATTATTTCCTGTCTTCTACTGCTTTTCAGGTTGATTTCTTCTTTTTCTAGGGCTTTGAGTTGTAATATTAGGTCATTTATTTGTTCACTTTTTTTTTTAAGGAATGAACTCCATGCAACAAACTTTCCTCTTATGAATGAACGCCATGCAACAAACTTGCCTCCATAGTGTCCCAGATATTTCAGTATGTTGTATCAGTGTTCTCATTTACCTCTAAGAATTTTTTAATCTCCTCCTTGATATCTTTTGCAACCCACTGTTCATTCAATATTATATTATTTAGTCTCCAGTTGTTGGAGTATTTTTATTTTTATTTTATCACTGATTTCTAATTTCATTTATTTTCATTTATTTATCATTTGATTTCATTTATTTTATCATTGATTTCTAATTTCATTCCATTGTGATCTGATAGAATTCAGGGTAGTATCTCTACATTTTTGTATTTACTAAGATTTGCTCTGTGGCATAATATATGGCCTATTTTAGAGAAGCATCCATGTACTTCTGAGAAGAAAATGTATTCACTCATTGATGGATAATGCATTCTATATATGTCAGTTAAGTCTCAGTTATTGAAAATAGACCTGCAAATAAAACATGGTTGTGCTAGCTGCTTGAATCTTGACTTACCCAATCATTTCTCATTGCTCA